AGTAAGAGAAGGGAGGGCAGGGGGAGGGGAGAAGGGAAGGGAGGGCGAGGAGATGAAGGGGAGGGCGAAGGGAGGGAGGGAGGGAAGAAGGAAAGGGAGGGGAGAGTAAGAGGAGGGAAGGGAGGGGAGAGTAAGAGGACGCAGGGAGGAGAGGGGAGGGGAGGGGAAGGGAGGGAGGGGAGGGAGGGGAGAGTAAGAAGGAGGGGAGGAAGGAAGGAGAGGGAGGCGAGGGGAGGCGAGAGAAGGGAGGGAGGGGAAGCAAGAGCAGGGGAAGGAGGGAGAGTAAAAGGGGATGGGAGGGGAGGGAAAGTATAGAGGAGGGGATGGAGGGAGGGAGAGTTAGAAGAGAGGAGGGATGGGAGGGGAGAATCAGAGGAGAGGAGGAGAGGGGAGAGTAAGAGTAGAGGGAGGGAGAGTAAAGGAGAGAGGAAGGGGGAGTAAGAGGAGAAGAGGGAAGGGCGAGAGTAAGAGAGAGAGGGGAGGAGGGAGGGGAGGGGGAGGGGAGAGTTAGAGGAGTAGGAGGGAGGGAGAGGAAGAGTAAGAGGAAGAGGAGGGGGACAGGGAAAGAGTAAGGAGGAAGGGAAGGGGGAGAGTAAGAGGAGAAGGGGGGGGGAGGGGGGAGAGTAGAGGAGGGAGAACTGGGGGGAGGGGAGAATAAGAGGAAGAGAATGGGAGGGGAGGAGTGTAAGAGGAAGAAGCGTGGGGGGTGGGGGAGGGAGAATAAAAAGAAGAGGGGAGGAAGAGAGTGAAGAGGGAGGAGAGGGGGAGGGGGAGGAGAGTAAGAGGCGGGGCAGAGACAGGGGAGGAAAGAGTAAGAGGAGCAGGAGGGGAGGGGAGAGTAAAGAGGAGGAAAGAAGAGGAGAGGATGGAAGAAGTTAAGAGGCGGAGCGGAGAGTATAGAGAAGGGGAGGAGGAAGAGTAGAGAAGGGGAGGGGAGGGAAGAGTAAGACAAGGGGAGGGCGGAGGGAAGTAAGAGAGGGGAGGGGAGGGAGAGTAAGAAGGAAGGGGACGGGAGGGGGGAGAGTAAGAGGAGGGAGGGAAAGAGAGAGTAAGAGAAGGGGAGGGGAGGGGAGAGTAGACAAGGGAGGGGAGGGGAGAGTAAGAAGGAGGAGGCGAGGGAAGGGGAGGGAGAGTAAGAGTAAGGAAGGGCGTAGACGAGAGTGGGAGAGTAAGACAGGAGAGAAGAGGAGGGGAGAGTAAGAGTAGAGGAAAGGAGGGGAGGGGCCGGGAGGGCGTAAAAGTGGCCGGGGAGGAGAGTAAAGAGGAACTTGCCTGCGTCAAGCGTCATTTCCGTGATGGAATAGCTAGCATATTTTCCTACCAGCCCTTCGTCGGGATACGGGTTTCTTGATGCCTGTTTCGTGAATTGGCAGGCCAGTTCAGCGTCTGGTCGCTCGGCCGGGCTGGCATTCTCCTCGTCATGGGGTGCGCATAAACTCCATGGCCTGACTTCCTCCGTAGCTGTCAATCAATAACACGATAGTAGCGAAATGAAACACCGAATGTGTATGAATATATGCTGTATTTTATATATTGTTATATATTGTATTTTATTTATATACTATTTATTTATTTATTTAATCATTTATCTGTTTATTGATAGCTATTCTGTTATATAATGCAATGAAATATCGTTGGCACTCGAATGGTAATAAATCTATATGTCGGCGGTACGAGCAAAGCACGTACATACACGAGTGTGTGTGTGTGTGTGTGTGTGTGTGTGTGTGTGTGTGTGTATGTGTGTGTATGTGTGTACTGGTGCGTGTGCGTGCGTCTGTGCGTCGGCCGCATGTACGGGGACGCCGCGATATTGTAGGCGACAGTCGTGACGGTGGCGAAATTGGATTTCACGTTTCATCGAGGAAAGAGTTATACACGTGACGACTGGCTGTAAATGGTGACCTTACAGACTTGTAGAGGATTGCGACAGTACGCGGAGATGTAGACGGGCGGTGTGAGGAGGAAAGGAAGGCGATGGGGTTGCAAGAGTGGTTAGTGTCGGCAGGAGAGCTGGTTTTGGAGAGGGAATTGGGGAGGAGGGTATGCCGGTGACAAGAGGCAGGAGGTTGAGGGAAGTGAGAGGGTTGAGTAGAGGGAAATGGGTTGTGGAAGTGGGCGGTGATGTCGAGAGGATGTCAGAAGAGGTGAAGGTTGCTGGGTGGTGGTGAGGGTGTACTGAAGCGGGAGGATGGTGAGATTGGGAGTATTATGGGATAGTGTAAAACCCAGTGATAGCGATGGCGTTAAAATCGCATGCTCACGAACGCGTGCGCGCGCGATTGGACGAGAAACTTTATGCTTGCACGCGCGGATCGCCGGATCCTGCCACCGGATCCTGATCGTGTGCGACGATCATCGTCTGCCCGCCCGTGAATCCAGCATCTCCGCCCGTCCTTCCTGTTTAGCAGACGCCGTACGTCGCGAACTTTGACCGTTACGCGGCGACAGCGGCCGCGCCTGCGACGATACGGGCGCTGGGCAGCGTTTGACTGCGGTGCGTGGCGGGTGTGTGAGCGGATCAACGGCCAGACAGCAGCCATTGTGAACAAAGACGTCGACAAATAGTTGAAGAGCCGCTATCAGCGCGCGGGCAAACAGCCGCTGAGACAACACGTGATCACGGGCACATTACCGCGCCGAGAGAACAAACAACATGGCCGCTGCTATCTGCCGCTGCCGCTGCTGCTGCTGCTGCTATTGCTGCTACTACTGCTGCTGTTGTTGCTGCTGCTGCTGTTGCTGCCGCTGACACGGTTGCTGTTGCTGATGCTGTTGTTGTTGTTGCAGTTGCTGCCGCTGTTGCTGTTGCTGCTGCTGCTGCTGTTGCTACTGCTGTTGCTGCTGCTGCTGCCAATGCTGCTGCTACCGCTGCCGCTGTTGCTGTTGCTGCCGCTGCCGCTGTTGCTGCCGCTGCCGCTGTTGCTGTTGCTGCTGCTAATGCTGCTTCTGCTGCTGTTGCTACTGCTGCTGTTGTTGCTGCTGCTGTTGCTACTGCTGCTGTTGATGTTGCTGCTACTGCTGCTGCTACTGCTGCTGTTGCTGCTGCTGTTGCTGTTGCCAGCGCCGCGCAGAGCTATGTAATCGAATCGCTGCGGATGAATACGGCAGTCGTTGGGTTTGGCTGTGAGACGACCGCGATGCGAATATATATATATATATACACCCTAGAGAGAACGAGAGAGGAGAGCAGAGAGAGAGAGAGAGATGGAGCGAGAGCGAAAGAGAGAGAAGAGAGAGGGAGAGGGGGGGGGGAGACGAGAGAGAGAGAGAGGGAGGAGAAAAGAGAGATGGCAATAAATAAGCGATATAATATACGCCCGATTGTAAACGCTGTGATAACTAGGGGACGTGACGCGGACGATGGGCACGGGTCGTAACACACGCGGTCTCAGTATCACACACGGTCGGCCACGTAGGCAGAGCAGCTATAAACCATGAGAACGCATGCCGCTCTTTACTATGTAGGCGAGACGTCAATAGGCGGTCGACGTTAAAATGCCTGTCCACACCTCGCCTACCTATATATACCACGCCACTATATATATAGTATATATATTGGTATAATATCTTTATGTATATATATGTAAATATACGTTTATAGTCACACACGTATTTTTATTTATTTATTATTCATTTATAGCCAGCCAGTATACATTCATATATATATAATATATATATATATGATACTGACGCAGTATGCAGGATAGTAAGACATGAGACAGAAAGGCGGGTCGGCCGTGTAGTATGGATTGGAAATCACGCGCGACAACACCGAGTATATAGTACTTGATGTGGAGTCGGATCCGAGATAATAATGTACGGCTGTGCGAGCGAGTGTGCACGCATAGCGAGCACACACATCCACACGCGGTCACGACTTACCCTGTGGATACGGATAGGCGGACTTGCAGGATCGTGAGGGTAGCACGACGACGCGTCATAGCTCTGCAACAAACGAGAAACAAACATCATCATCACGTTTCTAAGAGACTTTGCACAGAATTTTTAACGTGATAACGCGATATATCTCTATGTGATGGAAACCTGCCAGCAAAGCCCCTTGTCATATTTTTAATTTATATCAAGATATTTACTTTATTTATTTATTGTTAATATATATTATATATATATATATATATATATATATTATTTTATTTATTTTATATTTATTATTTTTATTTAGTGTATATAGATACATAAACAAATGAATGTTAGTAATTATTTAATTAGGTTTAGTTAGAATTATTCATCTATAATGTGCACATAAATTATATATATATATATATATATATCATATTATATATATATATATCTACATATATACAGCCTGGTACCCGGCGTTGCTCGGGGAAAAACGCGTAGGAACTTTTAAGAGCAAATTCAGCCGCATATACTTACTTAATTCTAAAATATTTTCGCCTCCTTCACCCATACGATCCCCATCAGAAAGGAAAGAGAAGCGTACTGGATTCACAATCTATACACTATCCAGCCACACGGACTCAATCTACGGGTAGAGATTCCGGGATGAATAGAAGACAGTAATCACCCTCCCACCAGCATGGTATACACGCAAGGCTATTTCTCAGCCGACACTCTAGGGTAGCGGGTGGCTCGGTTTACCTTTTTATAACTTTTTTTTTCTTAATTCTAAGGATAGATTCGTAACAGAGAAACAAACAATACGTAATATTCTGACAAAAACAGTTCGAAAAGACAGAGTTCTGCACCAGTGAAGTCACCATAGATAAAATTATCAAAAAGATGAATGGCACTTGATATTAACAAACTTAATTCTTTACACCATGTTATACATTATATCCGAATGTATACACAGACTAATTACAATTTTAAAAATACAAATGAACAAAAATGAACCACTAAAAGTGTGTGTTGTGCTGCTTTTGAGACTCAACTGACAACTGAGTGCATGATAAAAAAAACGTATAAATTTGGCATAGTTTAACCTGGTATTAACAAAGTTTTGGCTTTTGTCCTCTAGATAGCTACATTCGCAGGAAAATCGGCTGTTATGCTTTTCTGACATCCCGCCACTGCTAGAATTATCGACCGTATTAAGGCCTATTTATCGTCATTATATCTATAAATATGAGTGGATTTGACAAATATGGATAAGCCTATGTTGGTGTCGGACACACGGGCTATACACTGAGATCAGTGGCGTGGGCTTGATGCTCACCGCCGCGAAGATTACCGCGTCAGAAAATCGGCCTCTCCTCTCTTATAATATAGATATAATTAAGGAGAGCGAGAAATAAAGCTGATAGCAAACTCCTGTCGTGTCATCAGTAAAGATAATTATAAATAAAGACTATATTAAATTGAACTAAAATTACCTTTTTACCATATGAAATTGAATCACCTTTTCACCATATTTTCGTCTACGTGCACATGCATTTATATTGACTGTGTTGGAAATAAGTATTTATTATATCGGTGACGCTATACATGCGCTGGATTGCAGATCTTATGCAGACGGCCTGGCCGACACTAACACCCACACTAATCCACACGTGCGTGTTCCGCCACTTGCTGATAATTTTTCCTGCGGATCGAATGAATGTAAATAGATTTCTCGGTAAGTAAATACGCGTGTATCGGCGGTGCCGCGCCGCGTTGTTTAGAGACGGCGGATCTGCGGCGGCAGCGGCCGCAGACGCCCGACCGCGCTCCAACACACGCACAAACTAATCCTTCACACAAGTTGCGTTTCAAAGAGTTAAGCGGGCGGTTTGCGTCGAAGGGCGAGCGGTGCCTGTGCAGCTTTCTTTGATTCGGCGTATCGGTGGCAGCGCTCTGCTCACGAAGTCGGAGACGTGGGGTGAAAGGAATCCCTCAGAGGGGTAAGTGAGCGAGCGGAGAGAGAGAGAGAGAGAGGTGGTAGGAAGAAAGCTTGGGAGAGAGAGAAATATATGGTGTGTAAGAGAGTGATTATGAGAGGGAAACAATCCTTGAACGAGAGGGAGCAAGGGAGATGAAGAAGGAGAACGAGAGACAAGGAGGAGAGGAAGAGAGAATGGTAGGGTGAAAGACATTCGACTGTGTGTGTGTGAGAGAGAGAGAGAGAGAGAGAGAGAGAGAGAGAGAGAGAGTAAGCGAGCGAGCGAGAGAGAGAGAGCGCGCGAGAGAAAGAAGCCGGTGCCTTTCTGTTGTCGAACAGTTGGGAGGTCCATGGTGTTTTCAAACGGCGCATTTTGAATTTTAATTGCGTGTTTCGAGTTTTTAGCAAAGCATGCCCCCCGCCGTGATTCTAACAGGTATCGCGTTGTTACCTTTTTGTAATTATA